CCCCCCCCCCCCTCCCTCACACCCCGACTCAAAATCCATAATAGATCCGCTATTTCGTACAACAGGATCTATCTCGGTCACCACACAATACCTTTTAACATGCACAGACGCGCACGCTGTACATAATACTCGAAAGAGGGTGATGCAGAATATATAGATAGATAGAGATAGCATCAGTGCATAAACCCGGAGTGATGATGACGTTCACCTGTGGCACATCTTGCCTGCCAAATGGAGTCAATGTTGACCGCTTCCCTGAATCTTGAGCACGTTTTACAAACGTTTCCTAGAGTTTTACCGGGAAGAAAAGAAAACACTTTGACCAGAAGTTCTGTTGGGAGATCTGTGATAATTGTCGTCATCTTAACAAAGCTTGCATAACACCTAAACAGCGTGAAACATCTGCCAGCAACTGTCAAAACAGCAGTTTGTTGACATTCACATGTCAAGGCTCGCAACTCTCTACTTCCGGTAAGGAAAGGTAACTCTTACATCCTTGTGACTTACCTTTCCCCTTACATCATTGTGACTTGAGTCTGGGCGCACATTGATTGTCAAATGTGGTGTAGTATTTACATATATATACATATGATCGGCACTATTTTTTCAAAGCATAATATTCTCTCTGTTTGAAGTCTACAATTTTACAAATTCGACATGTAAACCAATATTTTTATCCTTTCGGTACATTGTCTAGTAGATTTTTTTAAAATCAATTTCATGTAGAAATGTATTCCCGAAAATTATGCAAAGTATTTTCATCTTTCTAACGCGTTTATAAAAAATCAAAAAAATCTATGCAATAATTTATTTCAAACGAATTTTCATAAATCCAGCATGTTACCGGCAATTTAAAATAAAAGGGACTTACAGACAAGTGTCATTTAGGTCTACTATTAGCAAAAGTGTGACAGTCAAGCAATCAGAAATAGAATGAAAGAACTTTACGAGTTATGTAAATTCATAACAAGATAAGTCCCTCAAGAACATCATATTACTGCCTATAGTGTACATACAATCCATTGTCAAGTACATGTGAACGTTTTAGTATTTGTCCCTGAAATAAGTTTTATTCAATTTGTATTGGCACAACATGGCTGATTTTTTACATTTAAACTATTCTGTCACATATCAACCAACCGTCCCTCAAAACCCATTTTTAATTCAAATGCCCGGAAACAACTGGTACCAACTAACACATGACCAAATTCCACTCAGTGAATTAGTGAGTGCTGATTCAATTTAACAAATTAAATTCCTGAAAATCAGGTACACGACCCGATGTAACCATCCAGTATAACTGGTTTAGCTTTTTAGATTTAAAGTATAATATAATTTAATTCTTTTCAAGTTTATCACACCTATTTACTCTAATACCACAGGAGACTATGATGTTTCTATAATAAAATCAATTCTGTTCGCCACATTTCTGATCAAAGTTGTATTTCCTTGTTGAGATAATCGCATTCCAGCACGTATCTCATAACGTTTTCGCACTTGCGTTGGTAACTAAGCGTGGAAGATCTGGTTTTGGAGAGGGCGCTTTTGGCATAGGCCGAACAACACACAGATGCCCGTCCTGTCTCTGGCGGAACAGAACTTTATAGCACATAGCATTATCTTATTGTGTAAAATCGAAGCGATGTTCTTCTCGCTTTCAGATGCTGTCATATACTGTAGATATAGGTTTCAACTGTGTCGGCGATCTTACCCCAGATATTTCAAGCCGTGCATGGGCTGCATTACGTAGCTAGAGTTACATAGAGTTTGTTCTGTATTATTTTGCTGTTTATAACGAATAGTTTATTACAAATAGTTGTTTAGATTGCGTTCGTCTCTCTGTATAGTACCTGTATTTGAAAAAAGGGGAAATCGCTCTAACCTGTAAGCTATCACGGAAACATCTTTATAGTTATTGCAGTTTCAGAAATATTCCTTAACATTCACTCAACCATAAACACCACAATACACGGAACTCTTTATATAATGTTGTTATCGACTTTATTAGTAATTAAATTCGCACCAGCTCTTTTATATACGATATCTGTCTTAATTAGCGCACAAGTTCTTTAAAATTACCATATCTTACCAAAATTTGTTATTATCGATTTGTATGTTACTCTTTCGGACTTTATTTGCTCACCTTAACATCACCGTATCTGTTCTTATTATCGCACCGTATATATTACCGTATCTATTCAGCAGCTCTTATATTAGCGAGCCCTTTTAAGTACAGTCATCCTAAAACCTTTGTACAAAAATGTTGAACTTGCTCTGATATTGCATCTACCGACTCCTCGAACTTCGTTATATCTTTTCTAGCAAAACATGATCCCAGTCTGTATATAAGTCATTTGGGTCCAATGGATATTAGAAAAACGCTAACTATCAGCGTCCAACGCCAGCTAACGGAATTATGTCTAATGCAACACCCCACGCCACCTTTTAATTCGATAAAGTTAGTCTAATATCGTTTCAGCTTCAGATTAACAAATGTTTTATTTGATATACAGGGTACGCTAGTGTAATCACTTATCAGTGGAAGGATTAAGAAACGAGCATCTAGCAAATAGTTAATTTTTGTTGGATCCAACGATTTTGATTTTCAAGGACAAATAAGATGAAGCGAAAAAGAAGAAAACATTTTAGAGGATAAAAAACAGAAAGTTAAACAAAATAAAACCAAACCCCTACAGACAGGACTATATATCGTTGAATTAACCCACAGACCAGTTCAACCACCTTTCAGATGCGGGTAATTTGTTCTAGCTCCTCATTACACCGCGAATTCCATCGCTTTTGTGTGCTTCTACACGCTCGCAGCAAGCTGGAAATCGAAATTCAAAAGTCGCCACTTTTGTGTAACATTCGACAGTAGTCATGGTAACAGAGACTGGAGCCGATGACGACAACGATATCCCTAGAGGATTCCTTACCCCGTATCGAAAAAATCCATTCCGAGAGATCAACACCAACCCTTTATATGATAATGATCGTATTCGCCATTTGTCAAGAACTACACGCCAATCCATTGTCGATTTTTTTTAAATATATGCCAAAATGTTAGCTTTCTTTTATATACTGCCCAAACAATTTGGCGCTATTTGGAAAATATTTGATAACATTTGATAAAATTAACGAGTTTTAAAGGCATGCTAAAATGTACTTCTTATCTCATCGTAAACGTTTATGTCTAATTTGGTGCCAATACAGTTTAAACACAACTGCAAGGTTGACATGAGTTCAGCACTGAATATACGCTTGCCTTTAATCCAGTTTTACTTTGATACCGACTGGCGTTAGAGCCTTGAAGGGCAACTTTTAAAGATTGTAAATTCTAGTCCTAAATTTGGCAAATTCTGTTAAATTCCTATCATAATCAGATTGGAGTCCAGTAAAAGGAATGACTTAAGTGTTGTCACTTTGCCAGAAACATCATCCTTGATTACTATGGAAACCGCGACATGTCAAAATTGATAGATCACGTCATTTATGAAACTCCACATTTGGAAAAATCAAAACACAAGTAAAGATACAATGTGTAAAACTTGTTTTTGGTGGATTTATTTTCACGTTTACGTGAAAGATCATGTAATTAGTGTATAGTTACTGAATTGTTCTGTCAACGATTTGAGTAATATTGAATATGAAGTTTTCTTTATTGTTACGTCACAATTACAACACTCGATATGACGTCATGGAACTCTAAGTTATTTTCTACCGTAGTGTGATAAAAAGAATCATGAATTTTATATTTCATGCCATACGAAGTTTTTTAATTCGTCGCAAACTGTCAACTTTCATCTTCTCAAAAGCTCACACAAGTGCATGAAAACTTGAACGTAACCGAAACAGCGCGAAAACAAGGGTCAAAGGAACCATCGTAAAAAATAGAGCAATGACGTACAGAAGAAATGACACAAATGTCGAGTAGATTCACATACGTACACGAAAACACGTCTCTCAAGGAAACTTACATTAGTCGCACGATCACTCAATCTTCAACTACGCTCAACGTCGCATAGGTAAAATATTCTAACAACTTCTTCTTATGAACCGGGGTGACTAGAGTGATGATGACTGGCCTGCATCTTGCTGGGTTGAGTGGGTAATTCGTATCAAATTGGTTGAAATAGTTATTATTAACATACATTCTATTTTACTGTGCAAACAACTTCTTCTGATGAACCATGATGACAAAGTAGGATTTGGCATTCCCCTTTCTGTGGTGAACGTATACACATAAATACAATGATCCACATTTACTATAGCAAAAGTAAAATATGTTAAAATCATCTTCTGAAGACGTCTTCTAACGAATCCCGAGGAAGCCTAGAGTAACGCTATTTCGCCTGTAACTTGCATACTAGTTAAACAAATAATTAAATCTACAAGAATATGATCGCCATTGTCTCTTGATTACCAAAACTAGCATTGCAGCACATACTATTTTTCCAGTACCATTTCGAATAACAAGGACAGCGATGGTCCCTTGTACCTTTTGACCTCCTCGATTCCCGTCATATCTGCATGCGGGGTGTAGTTTAGCACCCACGGGTCTCCATACTTAACATTTCTCCTAGACATGCACTCATCTTTTTAAATGAAGAGCTCCTAATATTGTTGAACTCGACCGTTATATTCGATATAGAGTGTTTGGCTCGTCTTTGTATGCTCGGTCGACGATCCGTCTACACGGCCATAATCTACAGTGACTGTACCGATTGTGCCCACGTTTGACTTCTAAAGAGAACGTTTCAGAAAACCATAAAATCGACAAAGACCATTAAATTCTCTCCAAGATCAGATGAAATTAGCAGGAATAGAATTCCCAAAGTTCTGGTGCAAATTAATTTAAATACTGATAAAACGCCGTTGAAAAGAAGTGTAATTTGATTCTAAAACTGCGTTTCGATAAGTAAATTGCTTACAAATCAGACATACAAGGATTGAATGCAAATTAATTGAATCAAAAGAGATAAAATTCTGAACCGGGTTTCAAAAACTAAGTTTGTTTCGATTAACGAGAAAAAATACAAAATACGTTTTTAAATTCTATTTGTAAAAGGACTTGTAACTATTTTAATTAGAAATGTTAACATATACTTTCTCTATTTGATTTACTGTAAATTTCCAAACTAGACAACTCACATATTTTTTAAGGAAACACATAGGCAAGATTGTCTTCCGTGATAATTTTGAATATTATTTGGATATATGTCATTACTTCATGATCAACTTGAAAAAAAACCTGGAAGAAAATACAAACAAACTGTACAAACGCTTGTGTAATAGGAATACGACTTACAATTTTTACGATGAGACATACATATTGTATATTACTTACATACGCTTGACATACCGTAAGCGTCTCTCTAACTCTGTCACACCTCTTGGCAAACTTAACCTCGTGACCTTTCAGGATAGCAGAAACAGTAATTTCAAGAAA